CCCCCCCCTTTCCCCCCCCCATAGGGACTCCCCGGCCCCCCTGGCAGAGATGGCATCCCTGGACAGCCTGGCCTCCCAGGACCCCCAGGCCCTCCAGGACCTCCAGGCCTCGGCGGAGTGAGTATGGGGGGGTCCTCATCAGCACAACCCATGGCTGGGGTTTCCCTCTGTCCCGTCCCCCCCCCTTCCTGCTCAGCCCTTTTTCTCCCTTTGCCCCACAGAACTTCGCTCCTCAAATGTCTTACGGATATGATGAGAAATCGGGTGGCATGGCGGTGCCCGGCCCCATGGTGAGTGGGGGGCTGGGGGTGCAGGTGGGGTGTGGGGGGAGGGAGTTGGGGGCTGCAGGGCCGTCAGTGATGGGGACAGGGGTGGGGTGTCAATGGGGACAGGGATGGGGTGGCAGTGGGGACGGTGTTGGGGTGTCAATAAGGATGGGGTGGCAATGGGAAAAGGTGGAGTGGCAAGGGGAAAGGGATGGGGTGTTAATGGGGTCAGGGATGGGGGTGACAAGGGGAGCGGGGACGGGATGTCAATGGGGATGGAAATGGGGTGGCAATGGGGACAGTGATGAGGTGGTGCTGGGAACAGGGATGGGGTGGCCATGGGGTCAGGTGGAATGGAAAGGGGAAGAGGGATGGGGGGTGGCAATGGGGACAACAGGGGGTGGTGATGGGGATGTCAGTAGGGTAGCAGTGAGAGAGGGACTGGGTGGCAGTGGGGACAGCAAGGGGTGGTGATAGGGAAAGGGACTGGGTAACAACATGGGCATCAGTAAGGTGGGAATGGGGGCAGGGATAGGATGGCAATGGGGACAAGAAGGGGTGACGATGGGGTCAGCAAGGGGATGGTGACTGGGAAAGGGGTTGGGTAGCAATGGAGAGGTGAATAGGGTAGGATTGCAGACAGGGATGGAGTGGCAATGGGGACAAGAAGGGGTGGTGATGGGGACAGAGATGAGGATGGGTGCCGGTGGGACAAGGATGGAGTGGAGATGGGGGTGGGTAATGGGTAGCAATAAGGACACCAGAGGGGTAGCAATGGGACAGGGATGGGGTGGCAATGGAAAGAGGGATTGGGCTGGTATGGGGACATCAGAAAGGCAGCAGTGGGGGGTGACAATAAGGCAGCAGTAAAACGGAGACTGAAATAGGTGCAGGGGACAGAGATGTGAGGGGGGCAAGAGGGACATCAGCAGGGCGGAAAGGAGCCAAGGTGCTGGGGATGGGTGTAGGATGGCGCTGGGACAGAAATGGGGTGGCAGTGGAGACATCAGTGGGGTAGGAATGGGGTGGGGATGGGGTGCTGATGCAGCAATGGGACAAGGATGGGGAGGGGGGTGGCACGCGCTCAGCTCTGTCTCCTTGTTCCCCCCCCAGGGCCCTGCTGGACCCCGTGGTCTCCCTGGCCCTCCTGGTGCTCCTGTGAGTATCTCCTCCTCCTCCTCCTCCTCCTCCTCCTCCTCCTCAGCTCATTTTTGGGGCCAAGCCCCCCAGGGACCCTTTGGTGTGGGTGCCCTTGGTGGCAGGGGTGGGCACAGGTTGGATGAGGGCAGGATGCAGCATCCCCCCCCTCCCATGCATAAGGAAGCCCACAGTGATGGGGATCCACATGGGGTGGGGGTGGGGGGGTCTGAACTCATCATCGGGGTCTTCAGACCCAGCTTTCCCTTTTTCTGACCCATTTTCCCCCCTTTTTCTTCCCCCCACTGAACCACAGGGCCCTCAAGGTTTCCAAGGTCCCCCTGGTGAACCCGGCGAGCCCGGTGCCTCCGTAAGTGCAGGAACTGCAGCTGTGCCCCCCAACCCCCAGCACTGCTGGGAAGGGGCAGCAATGGGGAGCCTTGCACCCCACAGCCCCCCCCCCCACACCCCTTTCTTATCTCCTAGGGACCCATGGGCCCCCGCGGCCCCGCTGGCCCCCCTGGCAAGAACGGCGATGATGTAAGTGGCAGTGGGTCGGACCCCCCCTCCCTTTCTGGTGGCACTGACCCCCCCTCTCCCCCCCCGAGGGCTCGGTGCTGTGGGGCTGTGCCACCAACCGTGTCCTTGTCTATAGGGTGAAGCTGGCAAACCCGGCCGTCCTGGCGAGCGTGGACCCCCTGGCCCCCAGGTGAGGCTCCCCCCATGGTTGGGGGGCCCACGGCGTGCACAGCACACAAGGGATGGGGGCACGGGGACCAGTGGCTCTGTGTCACCCCACGGCCTTTCCTTGTAGGGCGCACGCGGTCTCCCTGGAACTGCTGGTCTGCCGGGCATGAAGGGACACAGAGTGAGTTCTGCATCCCCCCCATGAGATGTGGGGCGAACTGAGAGCACCCCCAAGCCGGGGAAACCCCCGTGGAACCCCAACACCCAGCCAATGAGTTGGGGGGGGTGGGGGGTTGGAGGCACTGACGCTGACCCCCCTCCTCTGCCCCCCAGGGCTTCAGTGGTTTGGATGGTGCCAAGGGTGAGCCCGGCCCCGCTGGTCCCAAGGTGAGCAGAGCTGCTGGAGCAGCTCACCCAGCCACCCACCCCCACTGCGGGGTCCGGCTGCTGCCACTTTGGGGCAGAAAACCCCAATTTTTTTATTTGCATATTATTGTTATGATTATTTGTTGTCCTAGGGTGAGCCTGGCAGCCCTGGAGAGAACGGCGCTCCTGGGCAGATGGTGAGTGCTGGGTGGGTGCTGGGTGGGTGCTGGGAGACACAGTGAAGGGGGGGGGACACGGTGCCCCCTGAGGGGCTGCATCCCCAGGGGAGGTGTGGGGAGGGGGGCTTAGCAACGAGAGCACCATTGGGGGCAGGGGGCACAGAGATGCTAAAGGGAAAGCAGCCCACCCTGACCCTTCCGTCCTCCGCAGGGTCCTCGCGGTCTTCCCGGCGAGAGAGGCCGCCCCGGTCCATCCGGTCCCGCTGTGAGTATTGGGGAACCCGGGGCTCGGACCCCCCCGGCACCCCATCGCGCCCCCCATCGCAGCAGCTCACGGCCGCCTCTCTCCCTCAGGGCGCTCGCGGTAACGACGGTGCTCCCGGTGCTGCCGGTCCTCCTGTGAGTGCCCCCAACCCTCCGAGCTCCCCACGGCCCGGCCTGGTGGGGGGGTCTCCTGCCAAGGGTCCCCGTCCCAGAGCCGCGCTTCCCGGTAAGCCCGATGCGCCGCGCTGTTCTCGTCCGACGCATCCGTCCTCTCCCCCCACTTAGGGCCCAACCGGTCCCGCGGGTCCCCCCGGCTTCCCCGGCGCTGCTGGCGCTAAGGTAAGACCTCCGCCCCTCGGCCGCGGCCCCACAGCCCGGCTGGGGGTTTTGGGGGAGGTGGGATGGGGGATTTCCTCCCCCGTGCTCCGCAGCGCCCGTCGGTGGCAACAGGGCCGGCACCGCCAACGGCTGCGCTGCGCGGAAAGGAGGAGCGGTGCGGCTGCGGGCGGCCCGGCCCTGACTCTTCCTCCCTCCTCTTCCTCCCCAGGGCGAAACAGGTCCCCAAGGTGCTCGCGGTAGCGAAGGTCCCCAAGGCGCCCGTGGCGAACCCGGTCCTCCCGGCCCAGCTGGCGCTGCCGGTCCCGCCGTGAGTGCCCCCCGACGGCGTCCCGCCCTTCAGCCTCACGTCCCTCGGGCTCCCACGTAACCCTTCCTCTTCCTCCTCTTTCTCTCCACCAGGGTAACCCCGGTGCCGACGGTCAACCCGGTGCCAAAGGCGCTACGGTGAGTTGTTGGTGCCGCGTCGCGCTGCCGCACGCGGTTCCCGGTTCGGGGGTCCCTCGCCCTCACCGCCCCTCTGCCTGTCCCTCAGGGCGCTCCTGGCATCGCCGGTGCCCCCGGCTTCCCCGGTGCTCGCGGTCCCTCCGGACCCCAAGGTCCCAGCGGTGCCCCCGGACCCAAAGGGAACAGCGTGAGTACCCCCGCATCCCCCCTCCATCCCTCCTCCCGCCCTGTGGTGGGCTCTCAGCCCTTCGTTCCAGCGCTGGGATGGAGATGGGGCACCGAGGCGATGGCGTTGCGATGGCTCCATCCTTTGGTCCATCGGTGCACCGCCCCACCGGGCGCATCTCCGCACCCCCACGGCACTACGAGCTGCCAGCACCGGGGCTGGGGGGGCTCAGCACCCCCTCCCCGCTCCCACCAACACGGTTCTGAGCATCTCCCCTCCTCTTTCCCAGGGCGAACCCGGCGCTCCAGGCAACAAAGGTGACACCGGAGCCAAAGGCGAACCCGTAAGTGTCCCCAGGAGCCACCGACGCTCAGCGCAGCCCCGGCTCAGCGTCTCCTCGCGGCCGCTCACCCCGCTCTCCCCCCGCAGGGTCCCGCTGGTGTTCAAGGCCCCCCCGGCCCCGCCGGTGAGGAAGGCAAGAGAGGAGCTCGTGGAGAGCCCGGCCCTGCTGGGCTGCCCGGTCCTGCAGGAGAACGGGTGAGTCCGCCTTGTCCTCCCCCCGGCTTCAGCCCGATGGAAACGCCGATGTCCCCGCGGCATCCCACGCACCTCGAGGTTTCCTTGGAGCATCTCGGCTGCTCGGCCCCACGGCTGTGCCCCATAGGGTCCCCCCACCCCGCTCTGACCGTTCTCCCATCCCTCGCAGGGCGCTCCCGGTAGCCGCGGTTTCCCCGGTGCTGACGGCATCGCCGGTCCCAAGGTGGGTTTTTCTTTCCTTCCTGCGTGAGCGCAGCTCTGCGCCCCCTCCCCATCCCGGATCTCGATAACCTCCGTTCCCTCTCAGGGTCCCCCCGGAGAGCGCGGTTCCCCCGGTGCCGTCGGCCCCAAAGGATCCCCCGGTGAAGCCGGACGCCCCGGAGAACCCGGTCTCCCCGGTGCCAAGGTGAGCGCGGCGAGGGCACCGTGCGGCGGGCAGAGCCAACCGCCGGCCCTGCCCACGTCCACCCCCAAAGCCCCCCCCCCGAGCCCCGTGCCCTAACCCGGCCCTAACGCTCCTCCCAGGGTCTGACTGGAAGCCCCGGCAGCCCCGGTCCCGACGGCAAAACCGGACCCCCGGTAAGTAACCCCTATAGACCCCCCCCTCCTTGCCCCATAACCGTGCAGTTCACTGACGGGTTCTTTGCTCTCCCCACCTCAGGGTCCCGCTGGTCAAGATGGCCGCCCCGGCCCCCCCGGCCCCCCCGGAGCCAGAGGTCAAGCTGGTGTGATGGGTTTCCCCGGTCCCAAAGGTGCTGCGGTGAGTGCGCATGGATGGGGTGCTCAAAGGGGGAGGGGGGGGGTTTGGTCTGCCCACAGGTTCGGGGTGCACGAGGTGCATGAGGATTTCATGTCAGATCTGTGGCACAGGTCTCACAGAGCCCCACAGTTTGGGGGGGGGGGGGCTCAGGGGGGGTCCATCCCACGGTGCTGTGATTTTGACGCCCATCTCACCCCACTCCTCTTGCTTTTAGGGTGAGCCTGGCAAACCCGGTGAGAGAGGAGCTCCCGGCCCCCCTGGTGCTGTTGTGAGTATTCCTGGGGGCAGATCTATGGGGCCAGAAAACCCCAAATGGGGTTTGGGAACAGCAGCTCTGGTGGCCGTCGGTCCAGGCTGGAAGCTGCCAGCAGCTCAGGATCCAGGGCAGCAGGGAGGAGACGTGGCAGGAATCTCCTTCCAGGGATGCCACAGTTCTGTCCTGCCCCACACCTCGCTCATAGCACAGCCCCATAGGCTCATAGCACAGCCCCATAGGCTCCCACTACAGCCCCATAGGCTCCCACTACAGCTCTATAGGCTCACAGCACGTGGCCCCATAGGCTTACAGTGCACAGCCCCATAGGCTCACAGTGCACAGCCCCACAGGCTCCCACTACAGCCCCATAGGCTCCCACTACAGCCCTATAGGCTCGCAGCACGTGGCCCTATAGGCTCACAGTGCACAGCCCCACAGGCTCATAGCACAGCCCCATAGGCTCCCACTACAGCTCTATAGGCTTGCAGCACGTGGCCCCATAGGCTTACTGCACAGCTCCATAGGCTCACAGTGCACGGCCCCATAGGCTCCCACTACAGCCCCATAGGCTCCCACTACAGTCCTATAGGCTCGCAGCACGTGGCCCTATAGGCTCACAGTGCACAGCCCTATGGAATTCCAGTGCAGGGCCCCATGGGCTCATGGCACAGCCCCATAGGCTCACGCTGTAGCCCTGTAGGTTCACAGCGTGCGGCCCCCATCAGCTCGCAGCACAGCCCCACAAGTTCACAAAAGTGCTTGGCCCTACAGACTCGCAGCACAGCCCCATAAACTTACAGCACGTTGCCCCATAGGCTCACAGTGCGCAGCCCCATTGGCTCACAGCCCAGCCCCACAGACTCACAGCACACAGCCCCATAATCTCACAGTCTTGCACAGCCCCATAGATTTACAGCACAACCCCACGGGCTCACAGTGCAGCCCCATAACCTCACAGTACAGCACAGCCCCATAGATTTACAGTGCACGGCCCCATGGGCTCACAGCATGGCTCCATAAACTGACAGTGTATGAATCTATGGGGCTCACAGCCCCATAGGCTCACAGTGCACAGCCCCATAGACTCACAGCCCCATAGGCTCACAGCTCAGCCCCATAGACTCAGCCCTGTAGGTTCACAGCTCAACCCCATAAGTTCTGAGCTCTCTGTCCCATAGGCTCACAGCTCAGCCCCATAGACTCACAGCCCCATAGGCTCACAGTGCACAGCCCTATAGACTCACAGCCCCATAGGCTCACAGCTCAGCCCCATAGACTCACAGCCCCATAAGTTCACAGCTCAGCCCCATAAGTTCTGAGCTCTCTGTCCCATAGACTTACAGCTCAACCCCATAGGCTCACAGCTCTCTGCCCCATAGACTCACAGCTCAGCCCTATAGATTCACAGCTCTCTGCCCCATGCGCTCCCAGCACCCATGGGTGCACGCAGTGCTCTGAGCCCCTCCTCCCCCCTCAGGGTGCTGCTGGTAAGGATGGTGAAGCCGGTGCCCAGGGTCCCCCCGGCCCCACTGTGAGTATCTGTGTCCCCCCCTCACCGTGCACTACTGATGCAGTGGGTGCTCCGCCGCCCCCCCCCCCCCCCCTCACTCTTCTCCCCCCTCCTGCAGGGTCCCGCTGGAGAGAGAGGTGAACAAGGTCCCGCCGGAGCCCCCGGCTTCCAGGTGAGGGGACGACACCTCGTGGTGACAGCGGTGCCACCCCCCCTTTGCACCCCACATTCTCACCCCCCATCTCTCCTCTTTTTCCCCTGCAGGGTCTGCCCGGCCCTGCTGGCCCCCCAGGAGAGGCTGGCAAACCTGGTGAGCAGGTGAGTGCCCCATCACCATCCCTACGGACATCAGCCCGAGACGGTGCCTCAATGCGCCACCCCATAACCTCCACCCCATAACCTCCACCCCATAACCTCCACCCCATAACCTCCATCCCATCCATAGGGTGTCCCCGGAGATGCTGGTGCCCCCGGTCCCGCCGGTGCCAGGGTGAGTTGAAGCCCCACAGCCCCCCTTCTTCCCCCCCCTTGCTCCAAACGGCCGCGCTCAGCTCCTCTCCTCCTCCTGCAGGGTGAGAGAGGTTTCCCCGGTGAGCGCGGTGTCCAGGGCCCCCCCGGCCCCCAGGGTCCTCGTGGTGCTAACGGTGCTCCCGGAAACGATGGTGCTAAGGTGGGTATGGGGGGGGTTCTGCTTTTTGGGGGGGTGGAGGGAGGTGGGGATGGCTCCGGAACGCGGCTCTCTCTTGCAGAGACGGCGCTGATTTCTCACTAACCTCCATCGCTGTGTTTCTTCCCCAGGGTGACGCCGGTGCTCCCGGTGCCCCCGGAAACCAAGGCCCCCCCGGGTTGCAGGGGATGCCCGGAGAACGCGGTGCTGCCGGCCTGCCAGGCGCCAAGGGTGACAGAGTGCGTGCCCCCCCCCCCCCCCGGCTCCCAATGCCCCCCATTCACCCTCTGCCTGCAGCCCCCTCCCCTCCCACAGCCGCTCACCACCTGGAGGGGCATCCCAGCATGGCACTTCCCTGAGCCGAGGGGATGGGGGGGGGGGGTTGTGGTCCTTATGGGGCACAGAGCAGTGGGACGCTCCGGGCCGTACCCCACAGGTGACCCTCTGTGCCTTCTCCCCCCACGCAGGGTGACCCCGGTCCCAAAGGTGCTGACGGCGCTCCTGGCAAAGATGGTCTCCGCGGTCTGACCGGCCCCATCGGCCCCCCCGGCCCCGCTGGTGCTCCCGGTGACAAGGTGGGGACGTCTTTCATCTGCATGCTATGGGGAGGTGTCCCCGCGTCCCACACCAACCCCATACCGCTGCTCTGACCTCACGGCCTTCTCTCCTCTTCCTCCCCTCCGTCAGGGTGAAGCTGGCCCCCCCGGCCCTGCTGGGCCCACTGGTGCCCGTGGTGCTCCTGTAAGTGTCTGCAACACCGCATGGCTCAGCCGTGCTGCCATCCTTGGCCACCCCATTCGTGATGTGACGGCCATTATCCCTCTTTTCCCCCCCCCTTTAGGGTGCCCGTGGTGCGCCCGGCCCCCCCGGGCCTGGCGGAAGTGCTGGCCCCCCTGTAAGTATATGGATCTTGGGGGGGGGGGGGTTGCACGGCTCCCCAGGTTGGGGGGAGGTGGGTGTGTGCACCCATGGGTGGCTCAGCCCCTCCTGCATCTCGCCCCCAAACTATGGGAGCTGTGTGGGCCGGTAACATCATGCGTGGGGATGGGGGCCGGTCCCATGAGGGGGTGGGAGGTGCAGTGGGTGAAGACGGCTCGTTTCTCCCACCTCCCCCCCAAATTCAAAGCTGTACCCCCCCGTGGGGTGAGCGCCTCCCTCCTGGCCGCTGGTCCTGGTGGTGCCCCCGTGTTCCGTGCAGCCCCCCCTGACCGCAGCGTTTCTCCCTTGCAGGGTGCTACTGGTTTCCCTGGTGCTGCTGGAAGAGTCGGTCCCCCCGGCCCCTCCGTAAGTGCTGCGCCCCACAGCAGCGGCGGGACGGGGGGGTGGGGGGGCCACTGGCACCGTGCTGTTGTGTGGATGCCGGGCAGAGCTCCAGGCAGCTCCACGTGGCCACCGTGACCCATTTGGCACCGGACGCCGCTGGCACCGCGCAGCCACCCTGCGGGGGGGTCTGACTGCATCACTCCCCCCCCTTACCCAGGGTAACATCGGCCTTCCCGGCCCCCCCGGCCCCAGCGGTAAGGAAGGTGGCAAAGGACCCCGTGGTGAGACCGGCCCCGCTGGCCGCCCCGGTGAACCTGGCCCTGCTGGCCCCCCCGGACCCCCTGGCGAGAAAGGCTCCCCCGGCGCTGACGGTCCCATTGTAAGTCACCCCACAGCGTGACCCCTCCACGGACACCAGGCCGTGTCACCCCGTGGTTCTGCCCTCCATCCGGAGGTGCCCACATTGAGGTGCTGCTCGTCCCTCCCAGGGCGCTCCCGGCACCCCCGGACCCCAAGGTATCGCCGGTCAGCGCGGTGTCGTCGGTCTCCCAGGACAGCGAGGTGAAAGAGGCTTCCCCGGCCTGCCCGGCCCCTCTGTGAGTACCCCCGTGGGACCCCCCAGCTCACCGTGTGGCTGATGGGTGCTCCTGGTGTCCGACGCCTCTGCGCTCTCTTCTTCATAGGGTGAACCCGGCAAGCAGGGTCCCTCAGGTTCCCCTGGTGAACGCGGTCCTCCCGGCCCCATGGGCCCCCCTGGCCTTGCTGGTCCCCCTGGTGAAGCTGGCCGTGAGGTAGGGTGAAGGCTGGAGGTGCTCGTGGCACCCGTGGGTGCTGGGCTCAGCGATGGGTCCCCCCTTCGTTAGCATCCTCATCCTAACGAGGGGCTTCGGGGGGTCTTGCTGTCCCATAGGGTGCTCCCGGTGCTGAAGGTGCCCCCGGTCGTGACGGTGCTGCTGGTCCCAAGGTGAGTGCCCAGGGGTGGGGTGCTGGGTTGGGGTGGTGAGGCTGTGCTGATCCACGCTTATGTCTGCTCTGCCTCCTCCTCTTCCTCTTCCTCCTCTCAGGGTGACCGTGGTGAGACCGGCCCTGCCGGCCCCCCTGGTGCTCCCGGTGCCCCCGGTGCCCCCGGCCCCGTCGGTCCTGCTGGCAAAAATGGAGATCGCGGTGAGACCGTAAGTGCTGCTCTGCTCATGGAGAGCCCCATCCGCTCCCTCCCAGCCCCAGTTCTCCATCTGAGCACTGAGGTTTGGGTCAGAACTGTCCCTGCGCTCGGATCCCGGCACAGGAGGGGGCTGCCCACCGGGGGGAGGCGACCCTTCGTCCCACTTGGGGTGTTGCTGTGGGACGATGCTCTGACCATCCCCTTCCCTCCTGTCCCAGGGCCCCGCTGGTCCCGCCGGCCCCCCTGGTCCCGCTGGTGCTCGTGGTCCTGCTGTAAGTTGGTGCCCCCCTCCTCTGTCCTTCGTCCTTCCTCGTCTCCATGGACGTGGGGACGGCGTGCTGTTCAGGTTGTGCTCAGCTCATCTCCTCCCATAGGGTCCCCAAGGTCCTCGTGGTGACAAAGGCGAAACCGGTGAACAGGGTGACAGAGGCATGAAGGGCCACAGAGGCTTCTCCGGTCTCCAGGGCCCACCTGGTCCTCCTGTAAGTGCCACCAGGTGTGGGGATGGCAGCAGCGGGTGCTGCCCCACGTCCTGAGATGCTCACAGGACTTTCTCTCTGCCCCGCTTTGCACAGGGCGCTCCTGGTGAACAAGGTCCTTCTGGTGCTTCTGGTCCCGCCGGTCCACGTGTAAGTCCCCAACGCACAGACATCCATCCAGGGCTGAGCATCGTGGGGCCGCACAGGGGACGCGTCCCCCCACGGCGCTGGGGTCCCATCTGTGCTCATCACCTCTCCCCTCCCATAGGGTCCTCCTGGCTCCGCCGGTGCCGCCGGCAAAGACGGTCTCAATGGTCTGCCCGGCCCCATTGGCCCCCCCGGCCCCCGCGGTCGCACCGGTGAAGTCGGCCCTGTTGTACGTATCCACCCCACCGCCGCTGCCCACCCGGATCTGCTGCCTTCGCTCCACTCTCACCGCCCTCCTCCTCCTCCTCCTGCAGGGTCCCCCCGGCCCTCCTGGCCCCCCAGGTCCTCCCGGCCCCCCCAGCGGCGGCTTCGACTTCAGCTTCCTGCCTCAGCCACCCCAAGAGAAGGCGCACGACGGCGGCCGCTACTACCGAGCCGACGATGCCAACGTGATGCGCGACCGTGACCTGGAGGTGGACACCACCCTGAAGAGCCTCAGCCAACAGATCGAGAACATCCGCAGCCCCGAAGGCACCCGCAAGAACCCTGCACGCACCTGCCGGGACCTGAAGATGTGCCACGGCGACTGGAAGAGCGGTCAGTGCCCCCCAGCAGCGCCTCCAGGGTCCTCCTCAGCTCCGTCCCTCCTGGATGCTCCCACCTCCATCCCTCCTATCTGCCCTTCACCTCCGTCCCTCCGTCTTCATCACCCACGGATCTTTGCCTCCGTCTTTCCCACCCACCCCTCACCTCCTGGATGCTCTCACCCACCCCCTCCGTCTCTCACGGCTCTTCCTCACCTTCATCCTTCCATCCTCCCCCTCTCACGGCTGTTCCTTATTTATCCCTCTGTATTCCATCTCCCACGGCCGTTTCTCACCTCCTTTCTCCATCTCTCATGGGTTTTCCTCCCATTTTGCACCTCTCACAGCTTCTCACTTCTTATTTCTCCATCCTCTGTTCCTCGTGGTTGCCTCGCTTCCGTCCTCATCTCCATGGACTATTCCTCTCCCCATCCCCGTGCCCAGTGGCTGCTCCTCACCTCCATCCCCATCCTCTGTTCCTCCCCTTTACCTCCATCCCCATCTCTTATTTCTCTTCTGACCTCTACCCCCGCTTTCCATCACTTCTCCTCACCTCTGTCCCCATCTCCTCTTCCTCCCCTTTACCTCCATCCCCAGTTCCTCCTCCCCTCCCACCCCTTTTGGCCAATCCTCACCTCCATCCTCATCTCCCGTGGCCCCCCCTCACCATCCCCATCCCTTATTCCTCCTCCTCACCTCTGACTCCAACTCTCATGGCCACTCCTCACCTCAACCCCCTCCCCTCCTGGTCATTCCTCACGCCCCTCCCCATATCCTGCCTCCACTCCTCACCTCCCCCCATCCCTCCTCACCCCGCAGCCCCTCTCTGCCCCCTGACCCCATCTGTTGCCCCGCAGGCGAGTACTGGATCGACCCCAACCAGGGCTGCAACCTGGACGCCATCAAGGTCTACTGCAACATGGAGACAGGCGAGACGTGCGTCTACCCCACGCAAGCCACCATTGCCCAGAAGAACTGGTACCTCAGCAAGAACCCCAAGGAGAAGAAGCACATCTGGTTCGGCGAGACGATGAGCGACGGCTTCCAGGTGGGCCGATGGGCTCCAGGGGGTGATGCAGGGGGGGAGATGTGGGGCAGAGTGATGCAGCGCCATCTGGTCCCTAACGCCTCTTTGCCCGCAGTTTGAGTACGGCGGTGAGGGCTCCAACCCGGCTGACGTTGCCATCCAACTGACCTTCCTGCGCCTGATGTCCACCGAGGCCACCCAAAACGTCACCTACCACTGCAAGAACAGCGTCGCCTACATGGACCAGGAAACCGGCAACCTGAAGAAGGCTCTGCTGCTCCAGGGAGCCAACGAGATCGAGATCAGGGCCGAAGGAAACAGCCGCTTCACCTATGGGGTCACCGAGGATGGCTGCACGGTGAGCGGCTGTGGGGACGGGGGACGCGGGGATGGGGGGCTTGGAGATGGGGGACATGGGGATGTGGGGATGGGAGATGTTTGGGAGGGGGAAGTGGGGATGGGGGACATGGGAGAGAGGGACAAAGGGACATGGGGACATGGGGATGGGGGGCATGGGAATGAGGGACAGAGGGACATGGGGACATGGGGATGGGGGGCATAGGAATGGAGGACATAGGGACATGGGGACTAAGAGATGAAGGACACATGGTTGGGGGACATGGGGATGGGGCACTTGGAGACCGGGGACATGGGGATATGGGGATGGGAGACACATGGATGGGGGACATGGGTATGGGGACATAGGGATGGAGACCTAGGGACACGGGGACGTGGGGACATGGAGATATGGGGTCGGGTGGGGGACATGGGGATGATGGAGGATATGGGGAATTGGGGATGGGAGACACAAGGATGGGGGACACGGGGACACAGGAACGAGAGGCATTGGGGCGGAGGGCATCTGGATGGGGGACAGGGGATGGCGGATGGGGGCGCGGGGGATCTGGGGACGCAGGGACACAGGAATGAGGGGCATTGGGATGGGGAGCATCTGAGATATGGGGAGATGGGATGTGGGTTAGGGAACGTAGGGAGGAGCATAGAGACAAGGGGGTGGGAGACACGCGGATGGGGGAAATGGGGACGTGAGGACAAGGGACAAAGGGGACACGGGGGGGG